TTTATACTTACTGGTCAAATGCTTTCTCCTTTTCCCCCTTCCACCAACTCCTGTGCTTAAGCGCAGCAGTGGGCTGCCATTATATATAATTTGCAGTGTGGCTTATCAGCTTCTCCACTTTAATAAGCTTAAAAGATGACATACTTTTTGTAATAACGCATATTTTCTTCTTTTAAAGTCATATATTTTTATTACATTTTTCTTCAAAATCCCTTTTTAAGGCACTATTTAAATAAATTCAGTGAATACCCATAAGCCTCTAAGTGTCTGGGTGGGAGAAGGCGAAGGTTGGTCAGGAGATAACTGAGTAAGACAGTGAAGAGAGGTGAGGAGCTTATAAGAGAGCCCAGTGCTGGTAGAGGTGGCTTCAGTTTTCCAGGCTGGAAAGACAAGAGGCACAGCCCTGACTCAGAGGCTACAGTTTGGATGAAGAGCACGAGAGATGTGCATTGGAGGCAGTCTTAAGGCAGGATCTCTATACTGACAACTCAAATTTTAAAATTTTAAGTTTTGTAAAAAGTGGTGGAACTGAGGGGAATTTGACTGGGACACTTTCCAGTGGCATTTAACTTTATCTCAGCCAATCATTTCTTGAATATTTTAGAGTGTGAGCTTCAGCAGGGCACCCTGTCTTCACTTAGACTTTTCCATTTAGTTGGTTGCTTTAGAGAGAAAACTAGAGAGCAACCCACAAAACTGTTTATTCAATTTTTCAGTACATACAAGTTAACAGAAGAAGTGTGGCTCTGCTTTAAGTTGGAGAATTATGAACCTGGAAGGACACTAGAAATAACTTGTTGAAACAAATCATTTCATTTTATTTTTTTTCATTTTATACACTTTATTTTTTGTTGGATAAATTTGACATGCAACATTGTTTAATTAAGGTGTATGTCAGAAACAAGTCATTTTATATTTTTATTTTACCCATGGAGAAAATAAGCCCCAAGAGGGTGAGTGACTAGTTGGTGGTCTCACAGTAATCCAAGGGGGCTGCCTACTTCACAAGTGAGTCTCTTGCCTGTGTGACTGAGCAGGTGGGGGTGCAGGGTGGGCTGGGAGCTTCTGCTTGGCAAGAAGGAGTGGATGACGTATCATTCAGGAGGGTTTCTTTCAGTCCTGATCTTAATTCTTGCCAGAGGGAAAAGTGTGTGAGTTTGAGGGCAGGGGGCTTGGACCACATTCTTCCCATATCTGAGGGTGCTTAGCCTGTTTCTCTATTTTGAAAAGTCAGCCTAGGTTACTGATTTGTTTGTGTTTAAGGCAGAACACAACACTCTGGATCAATGGGCTGTGGAAGAGACACTGTGGCCTCTCCCACAGTGGTGGTGACACAGGACAGGCTGTGACAGGTCCAGCTTCATCCCTGGTTCTGCCACAGATGAGCTGGTGACCTTGTATTGGCCACTCTGAGTCCCTGGGCCTATTTCCTCATCTTTGAATTAGGGAGGCTGGCTCATAAAACTTCTGCGGGTCTCCTCAACTCTGACATCCTCTGAGACTCTGAGTGTGGGAAGCAGTGCTGAGCCATTTTTTCTGAGATGGATTTCAGGAAGAGGCCTGCTTGTGATCTCTCTCTGCTGCTTTATCAGGATTCAGGTTGCAGGGTGAGGACAAGCAATTTTAAATGGGTGTAACAGCTAATCTATTCATCAGTATGATTCGGATGAACAGTATGAATCGAAGAAGTCATTAGGCATAGCCAATGATGCTACTCCCTAAATAAAAACGTTTTGTGACTATAAAGCATCATATTTTACTGTCTATTGTTTAGTAGTTTAGAAAAGTTTCCTGGAGGAGACTTTGGCTTGGCATAAGTGAATGGCCAGTGCCAAGAGCAGAATGGACCAGGTCTTGGTGGTTGGCTGATGGCGGTGCCTGGGCCCTGTGGGCAGGTTTGGTCACACTGTGGTCCACGTTTGAGGGACATGTGTCACTGTTGTCCTTGTTTTGTTTTCTGCCCCAATTCTGGTCCATAAAACACATGTGCTTGGTTTACTTTGAATTTAAAAAGCTGCTAGGGGCCTGGCCTGGTGGCGCAGTGTTTAAGTTCGCACGTTCCGCTTCTTGGCGGCCCGGGGTTCACAAGTTCGGATCCCGGGTGCAGACTTGGCACCGCTGGGCAAAAGCCATGCTGTGGTAGGCATCCCATGTATAAAGTAGAGGAACAGGAGCACAGACGTTAGCTCAGGGCCAGTCTTCCTCAGCAAAAAGAGGAGGATTGGCAGCAGTTAGCTCAGGGCTAATCTTCCTCAAAAAAAAAAAAAAAGCTTCTAGTTCAGTCATATCTTATTTGATAAGGAGGTTTTTGAATTGGTTTAATCCAAAGTATGTCTTATATCCTAGTAATGCTTTTTTGCCAAATCAGATTCTCAGAGGGTCCTGTGTACTCAAGGACAGTTTTTCAGGCTTTTTACGTGGATTCAAGAAGGATTTGGATGGAAGAGGTGTTATCAAAACCACCTATTTTCCCTGCTTTTCAACCCATTTGTCCCTCTTTTAGTTTTGAAGGGAGAGGTGGAACTGGGAAAGAAAGAAGGAAGAATACTTGAAGTCCGTTCATACCTCTTGGAAAATGAGATACCTTACATGGATGCCTCAAAACTTACCTCCATCACTGCTTCCCACTTTTCCTCTTGGCCTTTTCTTCAAGGGCCAGGACCCACAGAACTCTGAGCAGAGCAAACTAGACCCCCCTATGGTGGCCCTCATGCTAGGAAAGAGCCACAGCCTGTCTATAAGCCCTCCTTAGCTTGTCTGGTCAGTGTCCCTCACTGCTCAGCCTGACTCCACATCTGCTTGCCTTGAGACCCAAGTTCAGGCCTGAGCCCACAAGGTTGGAGGAGCAGCTGTGAGATGAATGATCATTCTTTACTCAATGTCTCAGATGTCTCAGTCTGTCTGTAATCAGGCCCAGGCTCCTCCCCTTTCCTATTTAGTTTCTATTAGCCCCTAGGCAGCAATCATAGAGTTAAGAGATTGCCAGAATCCATTAGAGGAGGCCGAGGTCTAACTTTGTCTAACTTTGGACTTTCTTTGAAGAGGAAATTCATCTGAATGAAGCTTGTATATACTCATGTGATGTTTTCTGCTAAGGGATATCATGTTCCACACCGTCTGTGTTTTAATTTACGCTGTTCTTATAGATATAGTGGGTTTCCCCTGGGTGCCATTACTTCTCAATCACTTTCTCCAAGTCAAAATTAAGGATGCCATCAAACTAGTGAAGAAACACTTGAAGCTGGCCAAGGTACTTTATGCATCCCAAGACATGTCAGAAAAATGGGCCCAGAGTCCTGGTACATGGGAGTAGTTGGCATGTAAATCAGATGACCTAGCAGCTTATTGTTTAAGACTACTGAATAAAAGCCATCACTGGCATTTACCGATCTTGTGTCAGCCAAGGCTGAGCTACTCTGTATATTTAATAATTGAAAGTATAGATTCTGGGTATGGAGCATGGCAATTATTGTTTCTACTTATCTCCCACAGAATATCAATATAGGTCACTATGAATTTTATACCATACCTTGTGTAATGGGCTTATAAGACCATTCTTATAACAATGTATTAGAATTTTTGTACCAGATTGATATGCTATACACTGTTGTTTTCAAATTTATTTACAGCTGTAAGAATCTCACTTATTTGCATAGTATCCCACTAATATTTCTGTGTTTATTGTTTTTAAGTGACACCAGTCCTTTGTCTGTGAGAACTTACAACCTGCTGCTCTTATAAGGTCAAGAATAGTGGACCAAAGTGAACGCCATTAGGCCACTCTCAGACCTCTTTCAATATTTTCATTTTGGTACTGGACTCTTTTTTTAGACTCAGTGAAATCAGTTTTGCATTTGAATTTTCAGTCTTTTTGACTTGGAAATAATCATGTTTTAACTCTGAATAAAATAAACTGATTTTATTTATTGGACAGATGTTTTCCCCTGGGCATCAGATATTCATGTGTGTTTGTGTCCTCCTTGATTGAGTTCTCAACTGCATCAGTGACCCCTCAGATTCTCAATGACTTTCTCTTTTCCGGAAGAGCATGTCATTGGACATCCTTGTGTCCATCTGTGTCATCTCTGTGACGTCCTTCATCCCAGCCAGTTCTGTTGTCTTCCTGATCCAGGAGCAGATCAGTAAAATGAAGCACCTACAGATCATCAGCAGAATGAAGCCTGTCATCTGCTGGCTCTCCAGTTTTGTCTGGGACATGGTAAGAACACTGGCCCGCTGCTACTTTATAAATCTCCATCAGGGCTGTGGACTGGATGAAAGAGCCCCTGGCTATCACCAGGAAATGTTTTAGCTAGTCTAAAGACGAACAAAAAAGGAAAAAGGCAGAGGCAGTTATACACTTTCATGACACCAAACATGGTGTAAAGCATAGAGCCAATCTCACACCAGAGAGACCCTCTGTCCACAATGACTGCAATTGATACCACCATCACATAATTTCCTAAAAGTGACAACTTTTCAAAGGAACACTGAAGTGGAAGACAGTCAGTCAAAACTCCAGTGCCTCTAACCTGTCTGATAGGTTTTAACCTCGAGATTCAGGCTATTCTCTGCCTTAGGAGGAAATTCGTCTGTCCTTTGAATCCCTGAGGACCAGCAAAATGAGAGTTGACTGTGCTTCCTGTTTTTCAATTTTCCTTCAGACAGCTAATACATAATTTACTATGTTGTATTTGTAATATATGTTAGAAACACAAAATAATATAGCTGTAAATATAGGAGAGCTCGGAAGTACCAAGTCTAGTTTAAGAAGGCTGAGGCACTCAACTAAAATAAAAATTAAAGTTATTTGTGGGAAAATCCCAGCACATCTGTGACAGTACTGAAGAAATTCTCCTTGTAGGGTTACTATCATGCTATTTACTTGAGGTAACAAAATTTACAATAAAGACAGTACACTATTACTGTCTCATTACCTTATAGCAACACAACGATAGCTCCAGAGAAGAGGATAAAAATATAAAACACAATAAAAAGAATCAGAATGGTTATATAGGCTTTTATTAGGGCAAACATTTCCATAACCATAAATCTCTCATTAAAACAAACAGATGTCCCAAGTATCTCTCTTAAACAGTGATCCAAATTGAAGTAAGAATTAGTAAAATTAACTGTAAATGAAGACATTTCAGCATATAAACCAATGAATCTTCAACTGAGATTTTTAATACCAGGACCTAATAGTATTTTTCAAGTAAGTGATGAATTATTAATGTGAAAACCATAATTAATACAGGTGACACAGATGATATACTTTTCCATAGTAAAGAAATATGTTTAATGTTTTTATGAATCCTCTTTAGTATTACAAAATAAACTTTATTGGAAAAAACTTTGAAAATCTCAGAAAAACAGAAACAATGAAAAGGTTGACAATGTATATAAATAATTAAAAATATTATCACAGGCATGGAAATGTAATCATTTGAATATAATAAAATGCTATAAAAGCAGAAGCTTGTCAAAATAGAGAATAAGAGATATTCTGAAACAAGTGAAAAATCAAGATCTTGTAGTAATTAAAAGTATTTTTATAACGTATGACAGTTACTGAAATGCCAAGGGGAAAATGAACAGAACTAGTTCCTGAAGTTGTCGTGACAATGTAAAAAGGTAGCTTTTAAAAATGCAAGGGACATAGTGAATTAACTCACCACCTCCTTCAAATAAAAATGAGAATCTCTTGGGAGAATTTAAGCACCTTTAGCAGACACATCTTATGGCAGTTAATGAAATGCTTCGTATTTCAGTGGAAAACTATTTCAACGGTGAAAATGAGGTAGGAATCAGAAGCATATTCTGCTGAGACTCAAGGAAGTTAACACTTTCTCGAACTGGAAAAAACATTTCATAAGAAGGCATATAAAGTTATTGACTGAATCAAATTTGTTCTAAAAATCATTCATGCCTAGTGAAACAGCTTACCCGCTGCCACAACTCTGGGATCCTCATGAGACTCATGTCTCCCAGCTGCTCGACTATCTGCACTCTCATTCCACCAAAGAACGTGAACTGCAGAAATAAACCAGAAATAGGATCTGAGATTATGGCATTATTACAAATAAGAAATACAGGAAAATCAGAGTGTTGTCTTGTTCTTTAAATCAGAATAGTGAGTATCAAAAAGGTAAAAGTATGTTGATAAGATTTCAGAGGGGTTAGAGATTTGGGGGAGAAATTTATAAATAATCAAACTGCTTTTATAGATGAAGAAAAAGAAAGCTGGAGAGGGGAAGTAAAGTAACAGATAAAAACACAATCAAGACTAAATGGAAGTTTCATGACTTCCTAATACATTTTATTTTATTTAAAAAAAGCAAGAGTATAAAAATATTGTGTTTACTACTGATAATTTGGATGATACAAAGAAGAAAATAAAAAGTAACAATCCTAACTGCCAAGAGAAAACCTCTATTAATATTTAGTGTATTTCCTTTAAAAAATATGAGTAAAATCAAATTAGGGTCTTACTGTATATTATGCTTAGTAATAGAGTTTTAAAAATCAACAATGAGTATTTTCTATGGCAATAACATTAATTTTTAATGGTTATCTGAATTCCTCCTTATAGATATAACAACATTTTACCCCAACTAACTCCTTATTGTTGAACAATTAGATTATTTCCAATATTTCAATATTCTATGACATACTGAAACAAATATTCTCGTGCATAATTTTTAATAAAATTTTTATAATTAAAATGTAACGCATTTTAGCTTTATATGAAAATGCAGATAAAAAGTGAAAATAGGAATCATTTCTATACCACCCAGAAATAACCACTTTTATATTTGGTGTATCTCCTTCCATATTTATGTATATCTGTATGTATTTTTATATATATTTATAAATACATAAACACATATAAGAATATATGTTTATGGTTATATAAATACAAGAGATATACGAGGCATATATGTATATTTCTGTATTACATGTCTATTACATAAAGGGTAATACCCGGGGCCGGGCCGGTGGCACAGTGTTTAAGTGCACACATTCCACTTCGGCAGCCCAGTGTTCACCGGTTCGGATCCCAGATGCAGACATGGCACTGCTTGGCAAGCCACGCTGTGGTAGGCATCCCACATATAAAGTAGAGGAACATGGGCACGGATGTTAGCTCAGGGCTAGTCTTCCTCAGCAAAAAAAAGAGGAGGATTGATTGGCAGCAGATGTTAGCTCAGGGCTAATCTTACTCAAAAAAAAAAAAAAAAAGAGGGTAATACCACTTTGTTTCCAATGTTTCCCTATTGTAAACAATGCTAACATAAACTTCCTTAGAGCAGCACCTACATGTGTATCTATAATAACAATGTCGTTGACAACTACTACTAATGTTTAGTAGGTGCTTACTATGTGCCAGGCCTCGTTTTACAGTTTTCATGTATTAACTCATTTAGTCTTCATAATAATCTTTGGTGGTAGGTTATGATTATCATCATTTTATGGATGAGAAAACTAAGGCACAGTGAGGTTAGGTAACTTACCCAAGGACACAAAGTTATAAGTGATGGAGCTGGGATTCAAACCCAGGCAGTCTGGATCTGATTATTTTCTTAATATACCTCCTAAAATTTAAATTAAGAGAACCAAAGAATATTTCTTATATAGATACAGTTATGGATATACAGTGTATATATTATACACTGTGCTCCAGAAGTGAAGTAATGATTTATACTTAGCATATTACCATTCTCCTAGAACACTGAGAACGAATTTAAGATGAAAAAGTGTGTGCACAGGGGCTGGCCCCGTGGCCGAGTGGTTAAAAGTTCATGTGCTCTGCTGCAGGCGGCCCAGTGTTTCATCGGTTCGAATCCTGGGCGCAGACATGGCACTGCTCATCGAACCAGGCTGAGGCAGCATCCCACATGCCACAACTAGAAGGACCCACAACTAAGAATATACAACTATGTACCGGGGGGCTTTGGGGAGAGAAAGGACAACAATAAAATCTTAAAAAAAAAAAAAAAAGTATGTGCACAGTTTCAGTAGTTTTCTCTTATTAAAAGTTATACATGTCCATTGTAGTAAATTAGAGACTTAAAAAACTTAATTTCATCATTCAAATATGACTATATATTTTATATCCTTTCAACTTTACTTCTTGTATTACTAAACACACCTACACATCCCATGCATATTTCCTAGACTATTGGCAAAAACAATTAAAAAATTAAGGCTTTTTATATATATTGTCAAAAATTTAGGGGGAAAAAATTAAGCCAATCTGAACCGTACACAATATAATAGTACTTATTTTTCCCTGACCTATCTAATACCAAATCTAATATGTCTTTATTAGGTGAAAAATGGCGTCTCATTATAGTTTTAATCTGCATCATCTTTAATGCATATTTAGTAGTCATCTGTGTATCTACCTTTGCATAAGTTCTTATTTTTCTTTTGGATTTCATTTATGGTATTCTGAGAATGCACAAAGTTTGAGGCTTTGTATAATAAAATCATCAGTTGATTCTTTTTTCCTTTATAGTTTCCTCATTTGCTTTTTGGCTTAAAAATATCATTCCCATCCATATTATTAAATACATGCAGCTGTATTTTGTTTTAGAAATTCTATGAATTCAATTTTTTATTGAAATCTATAATCTACATTTTATTTTAGTGTATAGTGTGAGATAAGCATCTAATAATTTTCATAGTAATTTTTCTCCATGCATTTTCCAACTTGAACATACATCTATTTTTGTATAGTCTGACTCTTTTCTTATACTATATTACTAGAAATTGAATTTCTGGGCAACGATCAGCTCAGCTTTGGATACATTAGAGGTTTGAGATATCCATTGGGCATGAAGTGGAGAAGACAAGGAGGCAATTGGATATTATGAGTCTTTCAAATATTTATTAGCTATTCTAAGTCATTTATCCTTTCACATAAACTTTACAAACATTTTTCAGTTTGCCACAAAAAAATCTGAAATTCTAATTGGAGTATCTTTCAACTCTATAAGTTAAATATCCCCAAAGCATGTTTTATTAAATACATTAATATACTATATATATAGTATATATACTATATATACCTAAGTAGTGGGAAATGGGTAGTTTTTTCTTTGGGCTTGACAGTGTTTTTAATATTTATAATAAGTATGTATTACTTTTTCACCCAAAAACAATCTCCTATCCCATGTAATGTTACTAAAAAAAAGTCACAAAAGGTCCAAACTTCTAGTTCTGGGGATGTAATACACAACATGATAACTATAGTTAACAATATCATATTATATATTTGAAACATGCTAATAGAGTACATCTTAAAAGTTCTCATCAGAGGGGCTGGCCTAGTGGCATAGTGGTTAAGTTTGCATGTTCTGCTTTGGTGGCTGAGGCTTCATGGGTTCAGATCCTGGGTGCAGACCTATACACTGCTTATTAAGCCATCTTGTGGTGGCGTCCCACATATAAAGTAGAGGAAGACTGGCACAGATGTTAGCTCAGGGACAATCTTCCTCACCAAAAAAAAAAAGAAAAAGTTCTCATCTCAAGAAAAAAACGTTCTTATCATGAGAAAAAATATTTGTAACTATGTGAGGTGATGATATTAACTAAACTTATCGTGGTAATCATTTCACAATATATACATATATCAAATCATTATGTTGTACACCTTAAACTTATACGATGTTATACGTAAGTTATATCTCAATAAAACTAGAAAATAGAAAAAATCAATAAAAGTACATTTTGAGGAAAAAAACGATGATTAAAGGAACAGACGATTTCTTGAGGTTCCTTGCAGTTTTTAAAATTTTATCATTTTGATGTATCAGGGAAAAGAAGTTCAGTATTTGAAAAAGGCTTCATAAGGTATTAATATTCTAAATAAATAAGATGTATAACAGGTTTGTTCAATCCTTAAAATTATAAGAAACTAAAAATTTGGCAATAAAAAATAAAATATATTCCATACTGAGAACAGAGACAAACCGACCCAAGGAACTTAAGTAGATCACCAATATACTTTGCAATTTCATAGAAGAAATGGACTTACTATACCTCGGTTGAGTGCTCCATATTCTGTGTGGAAAACTCCAACTAGTTTTGAGTAGCCTCGATTGACATGAGTATGAACTGCCCTTTTAAATGGATCACCCCACAGAGCTGGCCCACCAGGTTTCATCTGAAAAGTAGCCAGTTCATAGACTCCTAGAGGAAGGAGAATTATTATTTTACAGGACACATCCAAACAATTTCTAATCACGTTTAGTTTGGTTCCAGTGGAAGGTTAATCTACATATACAGATTTGGAGGATCATACATGTATACATGTTTATGTAGATATATTAATAATTTTCATTGTTTTTTTTGCTTTTATGTTTACAAAGTCCTTGTCCTAGTTTAAGGGTCAGTTGTTAAGCTTATCATACAGAACAAAGGAAAAGGACTGAAAGCTATAAGTAAGCTATTGTCTAAAATATATTTAATTGGTAAAATTTGTCAGTAAAACAGTGACACTTATAATGAGAATGTGAGAGTTTTATAATGGCATAGGATTTTTTAGCTGCCTGAGTCTATACTTTTAAAAAAGAACTGAATAAGGAAGTATTTTCATTCTCTTACAGTTCCATTCTTCTAATTTCTACTACTTTTTTCTTTATATAATTTCTCCCACAGGGTTCCATTTTTAACAGGAGCAGCAAGTAAATAATGGACCTGAAGTGACTGCCTCAGCGTTTTTAAAGAAAAGAAAAACCCTAAAGGAGATGGTTTTATTATTCCTAAATAACCAGGTAAATACTTGAAAAGCATTTTACCTTCTGGATGGAATATAAGGTGGGTGGAGAGAAAGAAACTAGGGGACAAGTAGATTTGAGAAGTAAAAAAGGAAAATATGCAAAAGTTACTGAAAAATCATGAACAACCCAGAGGAAGAGAACCAAGATTTGAGACTGAGAAGCCAGCTAGTTCATTTAGACGGTGCTGAAAGGCAAGGGGCATCTACATGGGTAAGGATCAAATAAGGCTTTTCAGATCTCTTATTACATAAAATGCACTACAAAGTTGGGAATAATAAGGGAAATAAAATAAATTTAAATTAGCTTATGCTTTTTCTAATCTGACCTTTGTTTAAAACTGGATTGAGGTAATTATTTCTTTAAGTCAGCAAGAAGTGAAATCAGCAAGAAGACAAATCTTTAGGAATTATTTTCAAACTGAGAAATAAGAAAGAGGAAGAAATAAAAGTTAGACTACAGTAATACAACTTGGCAATTTCAGTTCATTTATTACCCCAATTTTATAAGCAAACGTACAAAATTATTTAAGATTAGTTATAATTTATGGAAAAGTACTTTTATATTTAAAAGTTTATATTATTTAAAAATTATGACAAAATATCGCACACTATCCATCACCTACCCACACATGTTCCCTGCTTTCAAGGCCCAGCTACTCAACCTTTACTCACCATGTCAACTTTTCTATAATACAGCTAAACTTTAAGTATCAGTAAGATACCAACTTGGAAAAATACTTCATCATTTAATGCTCATTTTTTAAAGGATAAGCTAAGAGCTCCAATTTATTTTTATCTCAATGATCAACATATGTGCCTATATTAGACAAAGGACTAAATTCATTAATCCTTTTCCGGTAGAACTTTAGTTTTTATAGTTTAAAGTCTTTTGTATTTTCTCCATCAAAATTCAAAGTGACTAAGAGGGAAGGACTTACCTTCTTTTGGAGGTTTTTCTAATTTGCTCCATGGCACCAGGTAAGCAATCTCACTCTCTTGTTTATCAATAAGAGCCAAGTTGGGAATGAGAAATTTTTCTTGCCATTCCTTGTCTTTGGCCAAGGCTTTCCGAACTTCAGTTCGATGAGCAAAATTATCTATGGGAAGAAAAGGAATAAGAAAACACTGTACTTTTTCTGAATTTCACTCAACTCAGCAAATTTTCATTGAGGCTGCATAAGGACATTGTGTTATATCAGTGGATACACCAACATATATAGACGTGACATCTGTCCCCAAGTTTCTCATGGTCTAAGAGGGGAGCAGAAATGTAAACAACTAATGCTAATGTGAGACAGGCGGCTTTATAGGCTCTACCACTTGGTAGGTAGTTGTGTGACTTAGGTAAGTTATTGAATCTTTCTGTGCCTGGTTCTTACTCTGTGAAATGGGATAATGATAATAGCGTCTACCTCCAGGGTTGTTGTGAGAATTAGCTACCTGGTTAGTACTCAATATATATTCACTATTTGTATTAATTTAATTTGAGGCAATTAAGTTATAGTGCCAGTTTAGAAAAAGGCAATTTTTCTTTGGTGGTGAGGGGTGGTTAGGTCAGGGTACACCCTGAATTAAATTTAACATAAATGAAATTAAGATGCACTTTTATAGCCTCTTGTTCTTTGAACAAACAGCTTATAAAGAAATAGTGCTGATTCTTTTACTTATTTTCACCCATTCTTTTTACCCAGTACTATTTCTTTTCTGTTTGATACGAAACAAGTATAAACATGTACTAACATATGGGCATAGTACTATATTTACTGTTAGGACCTCATAAGACTCATGGTAAAAGAGTTTTCTATGGTTCATGCTGCAGGTAAGGAATAACATTTATCTTAGCCTAAGTAAGTTATATCAGGACCTTACTAGTAATTTTTTTAATGGGATACAATTCAGCTGGTGGCACACTAAATTGTGCATAAATTGTTTTTTAATGGGGTTTGTTATGTTACAACATGGAAAACCCCGAAACTATAGCCATGTTAAGTATAGAATGAGCACTTTTCATATTAAAGTATTTTATGCCTGTTAACTGTGGATACTGATGACCAAACAATAAATGAAATTATTGAAAGTTCTTTGGCTATCATCATGTCCTGAATGTGGACTTCACTGAAGATCAGACACTGAAGCAAGAAACACTCTGGGAATTCCTGTAGCCTGTTCTTCTTCCTCTACTAAACCAGCGGCAGGTTAGCTTCAATGTGGGGAGAACTCTGATTCCTTTTCCTTTACCTCCCTAGACTGTATAGTGACAGTGAATTCCTTGAAACTCTGGGGTGCAGAAATAAAACAGAAGTGGTCCTGAGACATAACAGAATGATTAAATCTTACAGATGGGTGAGGGCTTCAAAGTTAACTATCATCCTCTATCAACCTCCATTTCCCTAAAGCCCCTAGATGTTTGAATGATACCTGCTAAAACTGATATCCAGTCCTGGCTTCAATAATAAGAAAAAATAATTCTACTTTTCTTTTATGATCTTAACCCATGTGGGTTCTTGCAATCACTACTTTAAATTTTTCATAAAGCATCTTTATAATAAATCATTCTAAAATTTTCCTGAGAGTTAAAGTCTAGTTCACAATTTTATGACTTGAAATTTGAGGTGCCACATTTTCCTATCACATTCCCATATGATAATATTTGTTCCAGCAATGGGCTGTTAGAGGTGTAATCACTGAGTTTATTTGTTTTGGTACTGCTTTTTAAAAGTTTTATTAAGCTGTGTATATCTATAGTAATATAGATCCAAGAACTAAGTCTCATGTAACATCCAAGAGAATGAAAATCTGTACTGAATACTTAAGCAGTTGACTCATACCATACTTCCAAATATGAAACACTTTATTCATTCTGCCTCCAAATTCTACACTCCAAAATCCAACCAATTCAGAATGAGCTGTCCGAAGATGAACGTTTTTCTTAAAATTTTCCAGGAACTCATTCATCTTTGAGGGCTTAAGATAATAGGTACGGAATTCATAGAACGTTCCTTCATATTGTCTGGGGCCTGTAGCAAAAGATGAGCACACCTGAAGAAAGATAAGGCAAATTTAAGTATTTTGGGAAGGCACGGTTTCTAATATTATGTTACAACTAATCTGAGTCTGGAAACAAGGGACACTCAGTAGAATCATAATCTGTGTTTGTACTTCTGTTGTCGTCTCTCCATAGACACTTGTTTAGAGAGATGTCAATAAAGGTAGCTAAGTATTTTAAATATATAGCTACTGTTTCCTAGAAAGGGGTCCAATTTTAGTCACTTTTTCAGGAGAAATTGCTCATAAGAAGGCACTGGGGCACCTTCTTTACCTAAGAACTATAATTTGGATCCTGATAAATTTTACAAATAGTGTTTCCTTATTTAGCCCATATTCCATCTTTAATCAATAATATATGTGTTAGAGTTAAGCATTTTAAAAAGTTTTATAAAATATACAGGTATTTTGGCTGGCATAACAGAAATGTGTTCACTAGCAAAAAATTGATTCTTTTTTAAAAAGGTTCTTAAACAATGGAACTACGCTGGGGAGGAACCATGAGTGCTTCAGGATCCTGTATCTCCACATTAGGGCTCATCTCCACAACAATGACTTTCAATTCACTTAGAACAACTGGTCCACGTTTAATTAACTCAAATTTCAGAATAAAGTTGTAAGGAATAATTCTTCGCCCTCCCCCAGTAAAGAGAGAATCAGAAGGATATAGACTGTACTGCTAATCTCCGGTGAAAGGGCCATTAATGCCTCTTCCTTAGTTTTCACCAGAAAGTCAGTTTCTAGGTTAACCCCCTTCTTGTCCTGCCCGTTGAGAAAGGAGTACTAGTCTAAACATCTAAAAGAAAAAGATCTCTGGTTAGATTCCGATAAGCCAATTCCCTACAGATAAGGCTGACACAAAAATCTACCCAGCATACTTCTCGTCTAAGGTTGAGTTTATCATATTTGCCGCGAGGTTCCTGACCCGCCCGGCTTGGGCGCCGAGCGCAGGAGACACCGGGCAGCTGGGCAGCTGCTCCACCGCCCGCACCCTGGCCTCCTCTTCAAGGTTCTCTGCAAAATGCTCGGGAGCTGCCTATTTCATTGAAAGCCGGGAGGCCGGTTCTGCCGCCAGCGGCGGGTGGACGTTTTCTCCTGCTGCCTCCAGTCTGGAGGGGCCGGCTTGTCAAGCGACCAATCGATAGTTGAGCCCACAACAGGCGGCACAGGCCCCAGCGCGCCGAGCACAGGAGCGGGGCTGCAGGGACGCGGGGGCCGGCGCTGCAGGGGTGTCCTCAGGGCCGCCTGGCACCTGGGCCAGAAACCCTCTGTCCACGGCTGTCTGCGAGCCGCCCGGGAGGCGACACTGGCAGCGGGTCTTCCCCCGTCGACTCCCTTCCAGCTCCCGCGCATCCCGGGGTCCGCGCCTCCGGGTTCTGGGACTCGCGCTAGAACGTCGGCGGCGGCACCGCGCTCGCAGGGTTGACGCGCCAGCCGGGTGGGCGCATGCGCGGGGCCGCGCGCTCCCGCAGACGCCCGCTCCGCCCCTCCCCCAGAGCGCGGCCTGGGCGCGTCCCCGCCGCCGGTACCTGAGGCGCGAACGTCCGCGCGGCCAGAACCCTGGTCAGGCAGCTTCGGAGGCCGAGCATGGCGCCGCTTCGAGCGCAGACGGCAGCCAGCCGGGATTCTCTCGGAGTCTCGTCGTCCTACGCCTTCCCGACTGGCGGAGAGCGGCGACCGCAGCCAGGGCGGCGCAGGCTCGGGGCGGGCCCGGCGGGGTCAGCTCCGCCCCGACGCTGGGGAGGCGCGGCCCGATCGCCCAGTCCGCCAGGCGGGCCGGCGTGGCGCGTGTGTGTCCGCACGGAGCCTCGGGTCCCGTGGGTTTCCTCAGACCGTCTCACCCGGGACGTCCGAGGGGACGTTAGGATTGGCTGAAGGCTGAGGTCGCTCCCGGACCTGCTTTCCGGGCCCGTTGCCTCATTTCCACGCTCAGTTGGGAACGACTCGTGAATGTGTGTGTGGACGCGGGTGTCTGTCCGTGAGGGGGAGGATGGATGCGCAGGTGTGATGCTTTGTGTTACGATGGTGGAGGGTTTTGTTGGGTATGATGCCGACTAGGGAGCCTTCGCTGTTTTGCACTAAGTGAATTCTCCTCCCTCGTCGCCGCCTCCAGCGTGACGTTGTAAGGCTCCTAACAATTTACATTGTGTTTCTCAGGAGCTCAGAGGAGTGGGGGCACCGAGCTAGATATGAAAAAGTCATAGTTAAACATACGTGGTTAAAACTAGATAATTCTGTAAGCCTTATACGCGAAACAGTTGACCTCTGATCTGGTCTTGCCTATCCCTGATTATTGGTCATCAGAATAAACACCTTCAACATTTCAAGCTCTTTTTTCCTCTAATGCCTGCCTTGGTATTTAAATAATAAGCATTGTTTGCCATTTCTTGATTTTTTTCGGTTATAGATAGTGTCTAGTGACTTCCTTCTGTGGAAGAAGAGGATTTGTCTCTTTTATACTGCTCCCTCCAAATAACTTATTTTCCTGTATTTAATAATGCTTACATTAAAATAATTATTTGAATACGTTATTTTACTTTATACATGATATTGTTACATTATTCTTGCTAATTACATTATTGAGAACACTAGTGTAATATTGCTTAATTATTAAGACTAGGGAATTATTACAGGGTTATCACCTGTGGTTGTATGGATTGTGCTTTGTGCAATGACTTTTCAATCATCTATTTAGAAAACGGAGGCTTTTTAAAATTAGTAATTCCAGAGGGGGGTCGGTTTTTCCAGATGATAGGCATTCACTTCTAACTAATCTAGACGAAACAAAGCTTCATCTCTGCCCTGACTGGATCTTTATATTTAAACTTATTTTCTTAGACTTCTCCCCCCTGGAATTAATTCATTCACTCATTCAGCCAATGTTTATTAAATTCCTTCTATGCTTCTGGCACTTTTCCAGAAACTGGGTAGAAAGGCGAACAAAAGACAAAGTCCCTGACCTCTTGGAACTTACAGGTTGGGGAGAACAAACAAATGGAGAGAAAATATATCAGGGGTTAGTAAATGCTATGATAAAAAACACAGTAGGATATGGAGAATAGAAGTGCTGGAGGCAGGTGGCAGAGAGTGCCAGCTGTTTCCCAACAGGCATTCTTCATCCCTCCCACCTTTTGTGAATTAGTAATAGAACCCATGCAGCTTGGTGCAGCCATGTGAGTAAGTCCTGGCCAGTGGGATGTTGGTGAATTTACGACCCACTGTGAGTGATCCTAAAGCCGTGTAGGAGGGGTTATTCCCCTCTTTGTCCCTTTCTTATTTCTGCTTCCTTTAATGTGGATGTCCGTGGCTTGGAGTATGAGCTAGAAGTCACATGCTGAAGATGGTGGAACATGAGAGAAGAAGCCTGGGTTCTGATGCCATGGAACACCACGCCAGGAGCCCTGGACTGCCCGTGTCTGGACTTCTTTTACATGAGAAATCATCTTCTAGTTTAAGCTACTGCCTTATGGCTCAAACCTATGCTCTTAATCATAGGAGGGTGACTATCTCTTTTTTCTCTATCTTTGCTTTGTTTGTTTCTATTGTTTTCCTTACTGTCACTTATTTATCATCAAATTCTTTGCCAAAAGAATAAATTTCCTTTCAATGTGATTAAACCCATTAATCAACTTATCAATTTCATCTTCTAGAGTTATTTTTTGGGAATCCTTTGTTTTCTTGCTCCAGTGTGGACTAGTTGTTCTAGATGGCATGGTAGTAATTCTGGGATCTTTCATGATATCCTGGGGAATCTCATTTGTCTTGTATTGGAGCTTCTGTTTCCAGGATGTTGTATCTTTTTTTTTTTTTCATTTACTCCTAATTAGGAGAGGGTACATGGGAATTAAACTTTTGAGACTTGCACCTTTAGATATGCCTTTACTTTATCAACCCCTTTAATTTATAGTTTGGGTGGGTATAAAATTCTACATTGGAAATAATTTTTGCTCATATTTTTGAAGGCAATGCACCATTGCCTTATAGCTTCTAGTGAGAAATCCATGCCTTTCTGAACCCTGATTCCTTGTATGTGCTTGTTTCTCTCCCTGGCAGCTTTTATGTTTTTCTCATTGTCTGACTGTCTGAAATTTCACAATGATAATCCTTGGAGTAGGTCTTTTTTCATCCCTTGTGTCTCCCTGAGTAGACCTTCTCAATCTGGAAACTCTTTACTTATGAAAAATTTATTGTGTTTCTTGGATTTTTTCTTCCCTTCTTTATCTCTGAAACTTCTAGTATTCAAACATTGTGCCTCCACTTGATCCTCTGATTTTCTTTTTCCTCCTGTTTTTTATCTCTTTCTTTTTTGGGGGGGGGGGGGGCGGGAGGGAAAGGTCCCAATTTTATCTTCCAACTCGTCTGTTAAATTTTTAAACTTCTAATCTCACAGTATTATTTCCAAGAGCTCCTTTTTACCCCTTTTCCCAGAATGGTTTTCCCCCCCCACTCTTCTGAAATAGTTTCACTTTTTGTTCAATATCTCTGTCTCTCTGGGGACATTAATTATAGGTGTTTTCTTTTTTAAAATTGTTTTAGATATTCACCCAAATTTTATTTTGTTTTCTATCAATTTGATTATTTTCTATGTTGGTATTAGAGTTTTTCCCAAAATGTTTTTGTATTTGTGACCCTTGATTATCGGTTCATATTTTGGAGTAAGACAATAAAAAAACTTGAAAGCTCTATGACTATGGATGGGTCTTGTCAAGAATGGGCTTCACTGTAGGGTGACCTGACTGGGCTGTTTCCCTGAGTGGATCTCCCCCACCCTGATTGTTATCTGTAAGTTATATCTCTTGTCTACTCAGTTTCCCCTGTGAGGAAAGTTCTGGTGTCCTATCTGTGACATATAATCCCTGTTGCCATTATTTTGAGGTTGAGGAGACAAGGAGGCCAGAGATCTCAATATTTTGTAGTATCTTTCAAGACTGTTAATTAGCATAGGCTAAGTTGCTTTTACACATTGACACTGAAAGTGTATTGTGACTCAAACGATATAGATTTTATTTTTTATAAGAATTCAAAGTGGATGTTCCTAGTTGGGAGGCAGCTCTTGTATACACGCTGGATTAAGGACCCAGACTTCTTCCACTCTGTGGCTTTGCCATCCCCTAAAGCCTCATTAACTGCATCCACCTAGCAGAAAGATCAAGGGAACTTCCAAAAGGAATTTCCAGAAGGAAAATGCTTACAAGATAGTAAAGAGTAAAATTCATGCATTGTTAAGTGCTATTAGGTGCCCAAGGCTGTCTCCTGTCAGTTTCTCACAGGTTTTAATTGTCCTCAAAGTTAAGCCTTATCCCCAATTTGTAAGTGAGAAAGATGAGATTCTGAGAGATTAAATGATTTCCTCAGGTTCATTGCAGCTAAGTGACCCAGCCAAGGTGTTTAATGGCAAATTGTAAAACAAGTTCAGTTTACCATTTATTTTTAAAAGATATCTGACCTCTAAGTAGTTTTAGAAAGTAGTATTTTAAAAAGTAGTATTTTTCTGTGACTATTTTTTTTTTTTTACATATCACTAAAATGCCTGGAAAATACATAGGGTAAGCATTTTTAAAATTACTGTTGTATATCCTAAAGTTCTAAAAGGTAGTTCAAAGAAAAGGTAGCCCAACGCTAAAGAAATCATAACAAAAAACTGGATTATTAAAATAGGCTAATGTGATATAGAGTAGCTGGTTAGTTATTTTAGATTGGGTGGGCAGAGATGGCCTACAAGGAGGTAACATGAAGCAGTTATTATGGGTACGAAAGTGTATTTAATGTATCTGTACACTTTAAAGAAAATAAAATGAATACCTTTGCCCGTCCCACCAAGCTTAAGAAATAGAATATTGCAAGAAACTTGGAAGCCCAATACATATTCCTTTCTGGGTACATTCTACTCCCTACAACACCCTTCCCAACCTCCCTCAAGTAACCATGATGCCAGATTTTGTGTTAATATTACGTTGATTTTCTTTAAAATTTGTATTTGTATATAATGCTAAACAATATCCTGTTTTGATTTGTCTATTTTAGAACTTTCTTTAAATGGAATCAGACTGTTTTTATTATTTTGTTACATGGTTCTTAGCTTTAATTTTAGGCTTTTGAAAATCACCCATGTTAATGCAGTCATAGTAATTAATTTCTCTGCTGTATATTATTCCATTGTATGAATACAGTTTACTTTCTTTGTCCATTCAAATGTTATGGACAAAGCCATTTCAATTTCTTTGTTGATGTCTCCTTGTTCCAGTGGAAGAATTTCTCTAAGGCAGGCATTCCAAACCTTTTTTGTGTCATAAAACCTTTTGGAAATCTTATGAGTCTGTAGACGCCTAATGTTTTAAAATCTGTAACAAGTGACTAGGGTTACAAAGAAAACAGATTGAACTAGAATAATCAAGATATAACTGTATTTTATACTTGAAAGTTGCTAAGAAAGTAGATCTCAGCAGTTCTCACCATATACACGCACAAAAGTAACAATGTGAGGTGGTGAATGTATTAACTGACCTTATCATGGTAATCGCTTTGCAGTATATACGTAAATCAAATCATCAGGTTGTACACCTTAAACTTACAAAATGTTATGTGTCAATTATATCTCAAAAAAGCTTGAAAAAATATAAGGGAAAATTCTTTAAAAAGAAACAGACATGCTTCTTTATTAGGTCACTAAATAACAAGATATAGGTGGATGGATATGAGATATCATAATTGTGAATAGATGATAAGCATAAAAGAAATATTTATTTGCAACAAGTATAAATGGAATTTGATAATATCTGATTTTTGTTGGTCATAAAGTCTCTGGTCTTGCTAACAATATTATGACTTATTGTCTACCTTCAGAATCAAAGGAAATGCTTATTTTCAGTTAGAAGCTGGTGACAATAAGGATGTACCTTTTTTCCATCCAAGTTACCAGAGCCCCTGAATTCTATCCATAGATGCCTTGGGGATGTGTCTACTGGCTGTTACAAACCGCTGCTCTCAAGTATTTACCGAGGAGTGGAATTGCTAGGCCACAAGGTATGTACATATTTATCTTTACTAAATAGTGCCAAACTCTTTTGTAAATTTATACTTAATGATGATGTATGAGACTTTTCTGACCAATTTTTAATTATTGCCCTTCTGATCTGATGAGTGTGAAGATGCATTTTTATGCTTCACATAACAGATAGGTATTGGTTAAAGGGTGGACGAAATTATATGAGATGAGCCAAGGCAACAATCCATTTGATGATGTTCCTGCTTGTTTTGTCCAAAGGTCAGACTCCTGCAAATCTGCACAAGGAAGAGGTGAAGTGGATCCAAGCGGTACTTGTGAACTCCGGATACTGAGCTTTGGTGATGCATCCCTGGGTAAGTGCTTTCTTGGTGATACATTCTGAGGCCACTAGATGGTGGTATAGATTAGCTTTTCCTTCATTAGGTCTCAAACTGTGTGCCTGTGTCTATTTCTGTTGTTTTTGAGTTCCAGTAACTTGAGCTATAGGTATTTAGAGTGGAGTTAGGTTACAGTTTTTCTTTTGTAATATGAGATTATATATTGAAGAGAAAAACTTCAGTAAAGATGAATTACTGTCATAAGTTTTATGAGTTGCTTCATTATTAATATAAATGGTAATAAAATAATTAAAATTTCATTCAATCTTCCCTAAAAAGTTTCCTGCTCATATCAGTGAATATTTGTTAAGCATGTGTTGTGTGTCGAGCAGTGCATTAAGTACTGTGGGAAGGAAAAAGACTGGATGGCTCATTTTGAGCTTGTCCACGTCTTGGTATTTCAGTATCAGCCTCTTTGCTTCTAGTCTTCTTGAAATAAGTAGCACGGAAGAATTGTGAGCAGCTCAATATTAAATATAGTATAAATTTATTTGGCATTTCTAGTAATAAAACAAATTGTTTTTATTACTAAAACATATAAACATGTGTTTAAGATATATGTTATATCCCTTTTTAGATATCCTATATTAATTGGATTTCTTTGTTTTGCATTGGAAAGTGAATTCGAGTGCCAATGACATTCTAAAACTTTTCATTAATAAATGCAATTATTTCCTAAAATAGACTTTCCAAGTCTATTGCTTTGAATAATGCTTGTGCCTCCCAACAGGAGTTGGGGAGAAATGTTATGGGGGAAGTATTTCTGGACCTGTGCTATTTGTTTGATTTTTTTCCCTACATATGGCCAATTTCTTTACTAGGTATAAGTTGAGAAACCTTCTAGCTTTAAATGCTCTTAGTTTGTGACATATTTTTTTCCTGAAGTTCCTCTTTCAAATGAACACCCGTTATCCAGTGTTCTCCAGCATATTTCTCTTCACCTGCACAAGTTATCCCAGATATTTATTAGCTGAGTAATCAATTCACTTTTTAATCTGTTTTAGGTTTCATTGACCATCACTGATTACTTTTGTAGCATCTTTATAATTTGTTATGTTTTATTTATTCTGAATGTTGTACTGAGGCCAGAGCATTAACGCAAGGGGAGTGTTGACTGTGTCCAAACACAGAGGGCCTATTGTCTCTTTTGCCCCTTGTTAGGTCCTTCAGGATACAGCCTAGGATTTTCCCAAACACATTCTATCATCTAAGTTCAAGTGTCCCTCTGTCTCTTATGAAGATTGACAGACACATAGTTTATGGGAAATCAGCACTACTCAGATTAAAATTCCCTCTGAAAAACACTCTAAGTTGACTTTTCAAGATAACTTAATAGTACATATTCCTAGAAGTAGGCTTCATGTTCAAGATGATTTTCTTCTCAAATAAAGGCATTAAGTATTAAAAACTATAGTTCCAAGTTTTCACACCCTGTGAAATCATATGAAGTTCTCACTCAGTATATGGAGGCAGTATAATTCCTACTTCATAGTATTTTTCACTGACTATCAGATGGTCCCGAGCCTGTGTGTTTCTTGGAAAGAGGCGTGTTGTTTGATGCATGTTACCAGAGTCTCGTTTATGATTATCTCATTAATGAGAGCTGGTCTTTCACTTGCTTGGTTATTCCTTTCCTCATTCCTGTTTAGCTGCCCTTCTCATTTTTTGAGGTTTTAGTGAATATTTACTTAAAATTTTCAAATCACATATCCCATTCCTATTGCTCTTTCTCAGAGAATGTCTGCGATAACATATTTCACAGACAAGAGACGATCAGATTCTAATGTGCATGATAGCATGCAGGAGCTTCATGTATATTGTCTTTTATTTAATCCCTTCTTATTCTCTTTCATTTCAGTTTGTGAAGCTGATATTTCCATTTTAGAGATTAAAACAAAAACATTGAACAAGAAGCTCAAAGAAGCTGAGTGACTGCCAAAGGGTAACAAAATGCATAGTTTAGAGCTGGTTTATTCATTTTAATTTCTCTCCTATAATTTAGTATTGGAGTGTACCATAACTTAGTTATCCTTCCCATGTTGATATTTAAGTGTTCCCATATGATTATTTTATAAATATGCGTCAATGAATAACTTTGTACATATCTCCTTGGGCATATACCTGTAACTGGAACTAATGAATCAATTTAACACTGTATAGTGTTGACTTATACTCCACTGGCAGTAAACGGGATTTCTTCTTTCTCCATATTCTTGACAATTTTTGTAAGTTTAATATTTATATATCTTTTGGCTGAGAAACCTCTCATTGTTTGAATTTACATTTTTCTGATTTCATGTGAATTGAGCATATTTTCATAATTTTATAGGCCATGTTGTTTTTCTTTTCTTTGAGTTCCCTCTTTCTATCCTTAGCCCAATTTTTTGTTATGTTGTTCATCTTTTTCTTATTAATTTGATAACTTTAAAAAAATATTCTAGATACTAGTCCTTTTTTGGCTATATTTGTTATTGCTACAGTTTTCCATTTTTGCCTTTATTTAAACCTTCTTAATGATGCATTTTTGCCATAAAGCAGTTTCTGAATTTGAATTGTTAGTCCTTTATGTTTTGTGCTTTCTTTTAGTCTCATTTAAGATATACTCGTCCTATCCCTGTGTGTGAAGACATTCTCCTATATTTTCTTCTAGCTCTTTTACAATTTTGCTTTGGCATTTGGGTATGTAACCTGTCTCAAATTTATTTAGGTCACAGTGTGAGGTGGAGGTTTAATTTGATCCTTTTTTTTTTTTAAGTATAAAGTAGTCCATTACCAAAGCACAATTTATTAAATACTTCATCCATTCCCTACTGATTTGCAATATCATCTTATATCAAATACCATTTATTTAAGATATAAACTTCCACACATGCACACGTTATTTCTGATTTCTCTCCTCCATTTCATTGATGTATTTATCTTTACCAGTACTAATACTATGCTGTCTAAATTACTGTAACTTTATCATCCATCTTGACATTTGGTACAATAAATATGCAATTCCTATTCTATCATTGTCTTGACTATTCTTGGTATTTACTATACAATTTGAATTTTGGAGTAGACTTCAAAAATTAAAAGAAAAATCCCAATTTCATTTTGGTTGGAATTATACTGAATTTTTATTTATAAATATTCACATATTTATTCTTAAATTTCCTAACATGAACAAAATATAGCTCCCCAATTTGTAGGAGATTTTTTTCTGTGTGTTTTAATGAAGATTTATACTTTTCTTCAAAAATTCCTTATGCAGCTTTTTATCGATTTATTCATGGGCACTTTATACTTTTGTGGTGTTGTGAGATTCAGTTTTAAAGTACATTTTCTAACAAACTGTAACTGCTGCAAAAAATACTATTGAATTTTGTGTATTGATCTTGTATTGATCTTGCTAGAGCCTCTTATTAATTTAAATTTTAAGATTTTCTCTTTATAGATTTTTTCTCTCTTCCTATGTAGACAACCTTATTTTCAGGCAATAATGACAATTTTGTTTCTCCCTTTTCAATCTTTACATCTTCTGTCTTTCCCCTTCCTCCCTGTCTCCTTCCCCCCGCCCTTTTTTCCTACCTTCCTGTTTTTCTCTTTCCTTTTCTTTTTCCCTCTCTCCCTTCCTCTCCTTCCTTCTCACTCTCTTCTCCCTCTCCCCCCATCTCTTCCCTTCGTCTTTCTCCTCCACCTTCACCTCCTCCTCCTTCTTCTTCTCTCTCTCTCTCTCTCTCATGCTGAGTTGGATTTCTGTGCAATGTTAAGTTTGTTTGGAACTTTAAGGAGAACTTTTTAGTTACAAATTTTTGATAAATACCCTTTATCAGGTTGAAGAAGTTTTCTTCTGTTTCTAGTTTGCTAAGTTTTTTTTATTTTTTAAATTATGCCTGTTGAATTTTATCAAAAGCTTTTTCTGCATTTACTGAAATGATCATTTTTTATTCTTTATTTAATATTGTGATGAATTACATTAAAATATTTTCTAATGTTAAGACTTCCTTGCATCCCTGGGATAAACCCTACTGGGTGTTAAGTATTATTATTTCATACATTGTTGGATTCTGTTTGCTAGTATTTTATTTCAAATTTTTCTGTCTATGTTTATAAGTGAGATTGGCTCATGATTTTTCCTTTCTCATATTGTCCTTGTTCAGTTTTTGTTTCAGTGTTATATCAGGCTTATAAGAAGAGTTGGGGGAGATTCCCACCCCCTTTTTATATTTTATGGAACAATTTGTACATGATAGGGGTTATTTGTTCTTAGAAAATATATTAGAACTATCTAGGGAAATTGTTTGGGCCCAGTAAAATTTTAAATTACTGATTAAATCTTTACCTGTCTTTGGATTTTTTCATTTTCTCTTTTTATAACTCATTGAATTAGAGTCTTAGTGTATTAATTTTCAGTATTATTTTCCAATATATATATTTAAGACTGTAAAATTCCTCTATTCCACCAATTTTGATAGTGATTTTACTATCATAAGTTTACAAATATTTTGAAATTTCCACCATAATTTTTTTCTTTGGTGAGGAAGATTGACTCTGAGCTAACATCTGTTGCCAATCTTCCTCTTTCTGCTTGAGGAAGAGTGGCCCTAGCTAACATCTGTGCCAGTCTTCCTCTATTTTGTATGTGGAATGCCGCCACAGCATGGCTTAATGAGCGATGTGTTGATCTGAATCCGTGAACCCCAGGCTGCTGAAGCAGAACTTGCCAACTTAACCACTGAGCTGCTGGGCCAGCTCCTCCATCATGATTTTTTTAACCTATGAATTATTTAAAAGTATATTATAAAATTTCCACATTTAGAAGATATTTTTGGGGTTTCTCTTTTCAATATTGATTTCTAATGTTACATTATGGCCATAGATTGTGGTTTGAATGATATAAATTTTTTGATGTTCATTGAGACTTACTTCCTTTCCTAATGTATCATTAGCTTTATAAACATTTTATTGTATTTAAAAACATGCTCTACTCTTTGAACACAAAGTTACACATACACACACATACATGTGTGTGCATGATTACCATGATTTTTAAAGATGCTTGTTTTAAAGATGCTTGTTTTAAAGATGCTTGTTTAACTTAACACATGATTCAGAAATCACCTGAATCTCTGCTTAATATCTCTGCTTTCCTCCTGAATAGTACCAAAGACCTTAAAATGCTTATCTCTTATTTCTAACCTCTCCCATCATTTTCCATATTATTTGTGCCTAAAACTTCATTTTTACCTTATTTTTAAGTTTCCCAATTATGAGCCCATGCTCTCTCTCTTTTTTTTTACGCTCACAGTTTGGATTTGCCAATTTCTTTCTTTATTTTTGTTTTTTCATTCCATTTCTTTCATGTAGGGACAATTTTTCTTTCTTAGGTTGTCTGTGTGGAAAAATCTCTGCATGTTTTTTCTAAAAATGTCTTTATTTTCCCTTCTCTCTTGAAAGATAGTTTCATTTAGTACAAAGTTTCAGGTTTTCAGTATTTTGCTTGAAAAATTTGAAGATATTCTATTGACTTTAGGTCTCTGTTCTCACTGATGTCATTTTTACTCTATTCTTAATTTTGAAGCATTTGAGAAAAGTAAGTACTATATGATATTAAATATAATAAGATATTTCATTATTAAGAACACTCTATACTTCATTTTTAAAAAATTCCTATAAATATTGTGTGTACAAAAAGCATCATGACATTCTTAGACCAACTTCCATGGTTCCTTTTAGGCACTCTTTTTTTTTTTTTTTTTTTTGTGAGGAAGATTGGCCATGAGCTAATATCTGTTGCCAACCTTCCTCTTTTTGCTTGAGGAAGATTGTCCTTGAGCTAACATCTGTGCCACTCGTTCTCCATTTTGTATGTGGAACACCACCCCAGCATGGCTTGATGAGTGATGTGTAGGTCCGTGCCTGCGATCCAAACCTGAAAACCCTGGGCTGCTGAAGTGGAGCTTGTGAACTTAAACCCTACACCATTGGGCCAGTCCCCTAAGCACTCATTTTAACATTATTTTATACTTAACTATAGCATGTTTATACACTTATTATATATGCATTTAAAAAAGCGATTTTCTTTATTGTAAACATTATTACATATTTTAAAGATGTTGATTCAAAACCATTTTTTATAAGTTTTAGACTTTGAAATTTAAGTGTGCCTGCCAAATTGTACTATAAAAATCTAAACTGCATTATATGCACACAAAAAACACAGAGGAAGATATCTTCTGCAACATCTATACAGAGAACCTTTTTTCTAGGGATTATCATTTTCCTCTTTATACTATAAAAAGAAAAAAGTACGTTCTCTATTTCATAATTTGATAGAGAAGAGATTTAAGGCAAATATTAATGTCATGCATACATATTGAAACAATGCAGTTTTGCACACACTATATACTTCTGCACAATCATTCTTAGAACTTCTAGTCATCTAACCATTATAGTAAGATAACTAGTTTTAAAATGTGGTAAAATTTCCTAGCCTAGCCCAAAGCTAAGAAATATAAAGCATAAGGACTCCCTTAAAATCTTTTCCTTGTGCCTTTAATAATTATTTGGGTATTGTCTCTTTTTCACTGTGAGGAAATTTTTTTTGGCTTATGTTCCTGAATTTTAATATATTATGTAAAAAAATTATAGATGTGAAATATAGAGATATCTAAATCTGTGTTTCTCATGAAGTCATCATTTCCTTCTGAACCAAGATCAGTATGATACATAGTCTGCTGTGTAATTGTCTTAATTGATCTACTTCAATATTTTCTTTCATTTGTTACTCAGTCACTGAGTTGTGCACTTATGCCGTCTTTGAAAATGCTTTGAAATTTAAACCTTTTGATGAGAGCAATAGTCCTTTTATCACTAATAGCAGTAGTGTTCATTTATTGAGTAGTGTCATTCTCCATTTTTAAATAATCTTACCCATTACAGCATGCATATTAACACATATTCTGAAATCACCTGAATCATTATTGTAATACAACCACTATTAATGTATGCTGTTTTTAACCTGTAGCATCTCACATTTATAATAATTGTTTGTCCCACATCTGGTGTGAAAATATAAATAGTATAGAAAAGAAATACAGATTAATTGTTTGAATGAACTTCAACTTCTTAATTTTTATCAAAGTGTCATATCGAAAAAGGTCCTAGGAAATGTGAGTGATTATGTAACTTGATTATTTTAAGAATAGCAATGTTACAAGATATATAGGTGATTGTTATTTGACTATATAGAAATGGCATCAAAAACTTTGTTGCCATAATTGTATTGAAAAGTGGAATTGTAGAATAAGTCTGTAGAAAGAGCCAAATTGCTTTTGCAAAGGTCTATACAATCTGACATTGCTGGGGAATCAGAGTCCCTTCATAAAAAGCCAAAAACACATGAAGGAATATGACACACAACACATCATGCCCCAAAAGTTTGTGTTTTCTTTTTCCTCATTACCTTAGAACCTAATTCTGGTAAATCTTCTCATAAGTTTCTTTTCTTTCTTTTCTTTCTCCTTCTCTTGTACCCATCCCCCAGGAATAGCAACTGAAACCCTGACTCGAGTTCAGTATAGGAAATTAAGTTTCACAGGGACCATTAAAATTTATTTTTAATTTCACTCTTATAAGAGTTGTAAATAACCTATTAAAAAGTTTTGCCTTTTTAAAATAGTGGAACTTTTTCCTGAATGAATTTTAAGAGAGTTTGTAATAGTACTATTTTGCTTCAATTTCTACCCTTGCCTCATTCATTGATACAACATTTATTCAAGAGCTGTATTCCTGACAGACTTTGTATAATTTTTTTCAATGCTGTATTATGAAAAATTTCAAACATAAAGCAAAACTGAAAGAATTTTACATTGAACATCGGACACTCACTAACTAGGTTCCACCACTAACAGTTTACTAGATTTGCTTATCTCATATCTTTGTGTCTATTCATCTCTCTATTCCTCCACTAAATCCATGTCATTTTTTGATGCATTTCAAAGTAAATTGTAGACATCATTACTCTTTTCCCTAAATATTTCAGCATGTGTATCATTAAGTAGAGTTTAAAACTATATTTGTTTATAGTTTTTTCTTTTAATGTAAAATTTACATACATTAAATTCACAAATCTTAATGTAATATTCATAGTTTTGGCAAATGCATGCCTCTGCCTCTCAAATTCCTATCATGATGTAGAACATAAACATAAGCTCAGAAAAGTTCTTTTATGCCCTGACCCAGTGGATACTTGCTCTAACCCCCCTACCCCCACAACATAGGCGGCCACTGTTCTGGTTTTTAAAATACCAATGATTAATTTCACCTGTTCTAGAACTTCAAGATGTACTCTTCTAAAAGCAACACTCTGGCTGCTGTGCAGAGAATAGACTGTAGGAGAGCAAAAGTGGAAACAGGGATGTGATTTGAGAAGCCATTGCAGTAGCCTAGGTGAGATGACGGTGAAGTAGACTTAGGCAGTAGCCATGGAAGTGGTCAGATTCAGAGCAAATTTTCAAGATAGAGTTGATGGAATTTGCTGGTTGATTGGATGTGGATGTATGGCACTCCATTTCCTGAAATGGGGAAGACTTGTAGGAGAAGTAGTTTGGTGAGGGGAAAAATCAAGGTTTTGGTTTTGGACATGTTATACTTAAAATGCCTGTTAGAGTAGGTCTCAGGGCTGGAGATACATAGATAGGAGTCATTATTCTATAAATTAACATCTTTTTATTTTGGTCATTGTCAAGTTATAAGCTCAGCAAACTAATTAAGGGATTATATGTATGTATATCTGGGTTAGGTGGACTCTGCCTGATCTATTACAATCAAATTTCTGATGCCCAGAATGAACAAAACTGTATGTATGGCAGAGGGAATATTATTATTTTAACCAGGATTATTGCTAGTTGTATGTGTCAGATATAATAGTTGTACTGCTCATATTCTATGAAAAGAAAATCTATTTAAAAAACTAATAGACTTTATACAAAAAAGCAAAATGCAATGATCCAAAGTATCAATCTGTTGATTAAAGCCCACTCTGTTATTTGTGGGATTACAAAGACAAATAACTGACAACGGGTTCTGACCCTAGTGACTCTTCAATGAAATAACAAATATATTGTGTGCATAATCAAAGAGAATATGTCTTCACATAATAAATACCACAAAGCTTAGATAGATTGCTGTCGGAATTTAATTTGGTGGGAGAATAGGTGGAAGAAGGGGTGGAGTCATTATAATAAAAGGCTTTAAGCAGAGACTTTTTTGAGGGGTACTTTGAATTTTTATAGATGGATTATAGGGAGGGCAATTTTAGTTGGAGAGAGGGACATGAGCAAGGATGCAGATGGAACAGTCACAAGGAATATTTAGGCAATGGGACATAAGCTTTTTTACCTTCAGCGTAAGAAAGACAATCACACATTCATACGTTCGTTCCTTCAACACATTTATAATGCCTCTTCTCGTTTAGGTACCAAGGATCCTAAAATAAATATTACTCATTTCTTACCCTCAGGGAACCCACAGTTTATTAGAAGAGACAGGCAAGTATGGGGAAAGGAAAGGGGACAGTATATTATTCATTGTGTGATATTAGCCAAGCACTGAATAAGGAATGTTGAATTTTTTTTTCTTATTGAATACGCATAAAACCCCCTGAGCTAAGGACTAAAGTCCACATTTTATGTCAGGATAAATGGAAACCCTGATAGATAAAAGCTTATAATCCAAGTAAATTGGAGAATTAGAATTTGCAGAAGTTCTTTTTGTTTACTTTTGAATTATGCCACATTGAATAAGTAAAATAGAATATAACAAAAAGTTTAATAGAGGCACATTTAAAAAATCAATGGAAGAATGGAAGATGAGGAAATAATTTCTTCCTAGAGGAGCTAATAAGGTGGTGAAAAGGTGACATTTGTGAAATGTGAAGAAAAGAAGAGGTGACATTTGCATTGACAAATAATGTAGTAGGACAAAAATTCTTAACTTGGGAATTTTAACAGCTCTTTTCCCATAATTTAGACCCCAATTTCTCACTTCTTTCAAAACCCGTCTTTCTCCACTCCCCTTGCCCTAGGAGGACAGACTCTATTTTATTTGAAGGAGGCTGTTGTGAGCAAGGAAGGATGAGATGGGGAAAGAGGGTGAAAACTGTAGGAAGACTGAGTACTGGGAAATGGTGGAAAGAAGTGCTCCAGAGCAGTGTGGCCTGTAATGCAAATGGAAGTTTTACAAGTATTGCTATGGTATTGCAGTTTTTAAGAAATTCAAATAGAGGACATTAAAAACAATTTTGATTGCTGGACTCTCTTTCCTTGTTAAGAATGAACCTTATGGACCCCAGTTTTATAAGGGTTGTAATAATACTTCAGTACTCATAATGGAAAGCAGATAATGGGTTGGGTTCTTTCTTTCTTCTTTGGCTTTTTATTGAAAGTGCACAGATCCTAAGTGTACAGCTTGATATATTTTCACAAACAGAACGCATTTCTCAAGGTGCTTGTAGATTGGACTTCAGTATTTCTAAATCATTCCTGGTGAGGAAGCACGGTTCTTTTAAAACATCCTGAATTTCTTTCCTGTAGCCCTAAGAGTAGAAGCTGTGATCTGTTTTGGGGGTAAACTTGCTCTCCATTTTGAGAAGGACCATGTTGAGGGGTGCTTTGAGTTGGGTATCCACTCCTTTTTATTGGGAGAAATGCTGATTCTCATGGAAGAAAGAAATGAATAGACACTATCAATCTGATAGCAGGACAGGAGCTAAAGAGGAAAATGGACTAAAGAGGGCCCATGTGAAGGGGGATGACTAATAGATAGCAAAAGCAGTGATATTTTATAATGATTTCTTTTTCTTACTGATCACAGTCCCTTTATTTTTCTTTCAAGCCTAAGTAAAGATGTTAAGCATAGTGGCCTTTTGATATGGATATTTAAGAGACTTATGTCTATTCTTTGTGGGCAAAATGTCCTGTTGAGAGCTTGAACAACATGGAAGCATACAAGATTACCAGAGAGGAATGATGGAAAACTGTAGAACAATAGTGTAGAGAAAAAGTGAAAACCAGAAACTAGGAAAATGTAAATGCTCCTTGGAAATTATTGGGGAGGTAACTGGAGTGCCTGCAGGTAGGCAGAATAGAAATTAGATTATTAGTTACTAAAGGAAAGGAGAGCCCCTGAAGGCTGGAGAACTTGGGGTCACTTAGGTAATATATCCTCTTCTTTTCTTTTTTTTGCCTTAAAAATATGAGTGGAGAGAGGGGGAACAAAGGAATACTTTAGTTAGGACTATATGATTATGTGATAAAAATCTAACTCAAAATTAGTTTTTTATACAAAGGTAATTTATTGACTCATAAAACTAGAAAGAAGAATTGTGAATCTAACTTTAGACACAGCTGGATAAAGGGGTTAAAATAACAGGATCAGATACACTCTCCCTCCTTCTCTCGACACCCCTTTGCCTCTCAGTTAGGCTCTCTCCAACGTGTTGGCAAAGATTAGCTCCAGGCTCACCTTTTACCAGTTTAGCAACCCTATATCAGAAAGAATGCCTCTTTTCTCATACTGAGACAACATTCTTGGATTGAGTTTGGTTAGCCTGGCAGGACTCACTTGCTATGCTGAATGAATCACTGTGACTAGAGGGATTTGCTTCTTTTATTGCCTAAGCATTTGTTCTGTGCATGCCACTATTTCTAGAGGGTAGGATCAACCCCGTACAGCACCACATGGACTCAGAGGGAGGGACTGTTTATTGTCAAAAGAAAAAATGCTTTCTTTTATCAGAGGCAGGGATGCTGGACGACAAAACAGTAGATGTCCAATTCAAAGTGACTAAGAAAGGAGACCAGGAAGAGAAAAGGAAGGGAGAAACTCCCCTTGACTCTTGGCTTCCATGACTTCATCTGTGAATACAAAAGATCTGATCTGGTCTCACATTGAGGATATCACACACCTCAAGTCCTTTCATATTTTCATAGATGCAAGTGTCTACTCATGACTTTCTTCACAGCTTCTTTCACCTCTTTATTCCTCAGGCTATAGATGATGGGGTTCAACATCGGGGTTACCACTCCATAAGACAGCCCAATGATTTCATCAGATGCTTTTGTGTCCTTTGATTTGGGCTTCATGTACATAAAAAGGGCTGAACCATAGAATAAGATGACCACAGTCAGGTGGGCTGAACAGGTAGAAAAGACTTTTTTTCTCCCTTCAACAGAATTAATTCTCATGATGGGAGAGAGAATGAAAACATATGAGGTGAAAATTAACAACAGAGGAATCACCAATAAAACAATACTTGCCACTGTCATGATAAGCACATTCATGGAGATATCTGAACATATGAGTTTAAGAAGAGCCAAGATCTCACAGGTAAGATGGTCTATGACATTATTCCCACAGAAAGGCAACACCATTGTCAGAACTGTTTGCACTAAGGAGTTCAGACAGCCTATGATCCAAGACCATGTAGCCATGTGCACATATAGCACCCTGTTCATGATGATGGGGTACCTCAGTGGGTTGCAGATGGCCACGTACCGATCATAGGCCATCACAGCCAGGAGGACACACTCAGTGGAGCCCAACCCAAGGGAGACAACCATCTGCAGGGCACAGCCCATGAAGGAGATGGATTTTCTCCCAGATTTAAATATGATGAGCATTGGAAGAATGGACGATGATGTATAACAGATGTCCAAGAGTGAGAGATTCCCAAGAAAGAAGTACATAGGGGTGTGGAGGCGAGAATCTAGGATGCTGATGAGGAGGAGGAGGCTATTTCCCAGGAGGATTATCACGTACATAATGAGGCAGAGCGCAAACAGAAAAAACTGGACCTCTGGGTACTGGGAAAGTCCCACCAGAAAGAATTCGGTCACAGCTGAATAATTCCCCATCCCTATGTATCCGTGTCACCTGCAGGTTTTAGAAAAGGACATGACTCAGGGAGATTTGAATTTTGGTATATATTTATCAAATCATTTTCACTTCCCCTATTTTGTTTTATTCTTAGAACAGCCCCTAGAATCAGCAAGCACAGGGATATTCTATTTTATTAATGATGAAACAGCACTGAGAGGTCAATACTGCTGAGGCTCACACAGCAACAGAGGCTAGGAATTGTGCTGGAGAATTCCAAGCTTCTAATTAAATAAAATCTAGGGACAAACTATATTCAAATATGCATACATAAGAATCACTTTATTGATGAATATTTTGAAATAAAACTGCATTCTAATAAAGCTAGATCTAAATTAAAATATATAGATTCTGCACTATGCTGCTTATCCTCAGTAAGACTATTTTAAGTTACTTAAGTTTTTTGAGTCTCAACTACCTCAGCTACTAGTCTCAGCTAGTAAAATGGGGGGAAAACTATAATTCTTTATCAGTTTGTTGTGAGAATTAAATTAGATAACATCTATATAGTGACAGGCATAGTAGGTGGTTCCAACATATCATCTAACATACATAATATAGTGCAATACAATAAAATAAAATATATAATTCAACATGACAATACTAAGTATGTATTCATAAATATTATAAATTATAACTTTTAAGTCTGCTTGACTGACTTATAGGGAAAAAATTGCTTTGTTTTTTTTAATTTTAGGGCAAGAGGATTGAAGTTTGGGACTGTAACTGATAGAAAATGAACATTTTCTGATCCAGGAAATAATCTGATCGCTACTTTTAAGTGGATAGATGAGGGACGTCTGTCCAGTTAAGAGTCTGGGAGTCAGGATCTGGAATCTGCCCTCCTTTGATATGTCATTTAGTACCACCTTTCTTCCTAACTTTTGTAATTTTCCAATGCTTTATTTTCTCTGTTATTCTGAAGCCACTACTGATAAGCTCACTGCTCTGAAATGGCCATGCTGAATTTCTCTTAGTATCCTCCAAATAATACACTCTTTAATCTTTATGCCTTTGTACCTGTTGTTTTCTTAAGCTGGAAGGACTTCTTCTAACTTAGATATTATCTTTTCTAGGAAAGCTTTCTTACCTCTTGGTCCAAGTAGGATGCCCCTGCTATGTGCTGTCACAGAACCCTATGCTTTCTGCTCTCCTAGCATCCTTCATTTACTCATTTATTCAACACATACTATGCCTTATGTACTGCGATATGTATGTGAATACTAGACTTTCAAAATAGGCACTGGATGCAGAATGCTTATGATAGTTATTTTATACTAATAAGAAACAGTTTATGTACTATACAACATGTTCCAATGTGAAAAAGTTATGGAACACTGCAAATTATTTTATCAAACTAAAATTGGCTTTTTACCCAAAACTGCTAAAGAGAGAATAAAACTATGATCAATCCCATTTATGAACACATATGTAAAGAACAGAAAGTCCATCCAAACTGCATACTAAAATTATGTTATTTCTATTAATTATGGAATTCCAAATTAATGCTTCAAAATCTATAAATATAATATATGAAACAAACAGGTAACAAAAATAAAATAAATATCATCTACCTAGATGCCCAAAAGCAATGATAGAACACAACATTCATCCTTGATAAAACCTCTTAGTGATCTAGACCTATGAGGATAAATCATTAAGATGATAAAGATTCTCTCTCTCTAGCTATTGGTCTACATAGTTCCAAATGGTGAGACGCTGTAGATATTTTCTTAAAAGTCATTCAAATGTGCATTCTTATTTAGTGTTTTTTCCTTGAAAGCTGCAGTAATGGGATACAAAAGCAAAAATAAATGACTTTACATGTAATATCACATTTCAAGTTCAATCATGTTTTAACATGCTTAAGTTTTTCCTCTAGGATGCTGACATTCTGGCATCTAATGGTTATGGTATACACATGTGAGGGCATAATGTCACATGTAATATCACCAATGCAAATTGTAGTCTTGGAGAAGAGTTAATGACAAGAGACAATACTCATGATACAATATTACATGAAAAAAGGAAGTTTCCTAATAATATAAATGATTGCAGTTTTGTATATGTATCCATACCTGAAGAAACTACTCCAAAATGTTAACTATGTCTTTCTTTGGAATATGGGATTTGGGGCATTAATAATTTTCTTTATAATCTTGGTATTTTTCCAAGTAATTCTTAATTTATATTTTATGATTATAAATATCAGAAATAATATTTTCAAACTTTCCTTGGAAGGGAATGGTGGGAAGGACGTCCAGAACTTTGGCTTCAATTTTCTCTAAAACTCAAGTAGGAAGAAAAACAGTGAATGGACAGTAAATTGGAGAGGGGCTGTGCATTGCTTTATATTACATAGACTGATTTAATGCCATTTAGTGTTCTGAGTTCAGACAATCAATTTCACATATATATCCACCATCAGCAGACATACTGACACAGCATCAGTTATTGCAAAAGGATTCTAGAACCGACCGTTTTTAATATGATCAAGCTTAGTGTAGATAGGATGCACTATAAAGTATCCAACGGTATTACACAAGAAAAAGAGAAGAGATACTTGGTGGGCAGGAGGGAGCATGGGCAAACATCAGGAGCTTCTGTTACCTATGCTTTGTGCTTTCTGCCATGAAGAGTCAAATTTCAGTTTCCTGGTTCTCCAGGTTTTGTTCATGTCTCTCCAAAGGACATGACATTTTCCTCACCTGTGGGAGGAAAGCAAACTCTGCTTGAAAACTATGGATCGTGAAGCCTTCACCCTTCTCCTCATGTTTACCAACAGGAGTGAGTAGTAGATTATAAAGCGTATGTACTCACCCAGACTCCCCGATTTTAACCCAACGAACTTTTTGAAGCAGGGAATGGCACACTCACCATGGAAGATTTCCTCAAGAGGAAACTTTCAGCACTAAGTACTGCATCCTATATCCTGTTTCATTCAGTTTTTCCTACTGTTTATAAAGCACCTTTGTTCTTCACAATATGACAGATCTCTGGCAGGAGCTCCTGAATGCTTGTCCAAGTAAGTGACCCTCTAGAAGCCCTAAAAGGAATTGATAATAAGCAATGCTGAGTGAGTTAGAATTATATCCTCTTCTCCTTTTTCTACATGGTCTTGAGAATTATTCTGAGTTTTTTCACTAACATTGCTGTGTAGGTACCACGTGCAGTTCTTTGTTGCTGGGAACACAGCCGAGCTTTAAGCTCTTATCTTGTAGGAGCCTCTATCTGAGCAATAGGCTCACTTCTGGGATTGATGAGAACATGCTATCTTGCATATTCTAATTTCTAGGGCTGTGCCATGGAAGCCTACCATGCTCCAGTCCTCTTACTCTTTTGTTCTTTTTGCTATTAAGGTACTTTTATGGACAAGTACTGTTTTTTAATTGAAAGAACAGTTGTCTTTGAGTCAGAGGACCTAGAGTTCAGCCTTGCCTCTGTGGCTTTTAGCTGTACAAACCTTGGGCAAGACACTTAACATGAGCATGATGTAAAATGAAGTAACAGTACTTACTTTGTAGGATTGTTGTGAGGATTGACATAACAATACCTGAAAGATCTTGGTATAGAGGGAGAGCACAATAGATGTTAGCTTAGTCTGAACTCCTGGGCTGCTATTTCTCCATTTTCCATGGTAAAGAGAAACAACTAATGTAAAGTGATGTTCATCAATGTTCAAGGTATTTACTCCACCCAACAATTCCTTATTTCTCATGATTTTTTCAGTTTTATTCAAATTTTTTCAAATATAATAAATTATTCAGAACTCCTAGTTCCCGTTATCTTCTCTCCTTTCTGAAAATAACTCTTCCCAACTCTGTTCTTGTCTACCTGATTTAAGCATCAGTGTAGGATCCTCAAATTCTCCACTTACAATAGATCATGGTTTATTGGGACTGCAGTCTTCAAAACAAGAAGCCATTTTACACAGAAGCATGGATGTCTCTATTCAGCATTCCTTTTCTCCCATGTTTCACTAACTTGTTCTGTCTACATATGTAAGTTGCTGCAGCTCTTCCTCCTTTGATTAGTTTGAATCTTAGCTGTCTTCTCTTTCAGTTATAGTCATGCTGTTAGAACCTGCAGGCAAGTATCCCCCAGTTCCAGAGGACTGCTGGTATTGGTGATGGGAGCAGACAAAAATGAAGCTTTCATCCCCGATGGAAATTCATGCTTGAATCTGTCAATAGTAAGTCAATCTGCCACGTAAGTACTCTGTAACCTCTGAGCCCTGAACGTTTCCAGAGGGGATGCCAGTGGCTCTGGTAGCCAATTTAAATATTCCCTTATTTTCCTCTAAGAGACTCTGTAATCCCATAAGTGATTTAAAGTTGAATCTTTAAATCTTGCTGAAGATGGCGACTAAGATGCATTAGAGGTAACGTCTCAAACACCTAAACTGTACCTTACTTATTAAACAGCAATTTTTCTCTCTTCTTTGAATTAATTTTTACCCTGACTATAGAAATAATATGTATTCATTGTAGAAAATTTGGGAAATTCAGAAAAGCCCAATGGAGAAAATGAAAGTCACCCACCATTTCAGATATAGATATGAGTGGAGTCATGCAGAGATTGTTCTTCTCTATCTGGCTTATTTCACTTAACATAATTCCCTCAAGGTTCATCCATGTCGTTGTGAATGGGATGATTTTATTCTTTTTTATGGCTGAGTAGTATTCCATTGTGTATATACCATGGTATGGCTTTTTTTTTTACCCCATTGCTTTCGACCTCCTTTTGTCAAGTTTTAGATTTTTTTAAATAAATAAAATACACCTGAATTAAAGAGAATCCAATCTGAGAATTTTTGTCTTCTAACTGGTATGTTTGATATAATTACATCTATTATGATGGATATTAATGTATTTGAATATATTTCTTTAATGTTATTTTTCTTAGTCTTTTCTATCTACTGTGCTCTTTTTTTTTTTTTTAAGATTTTATTTTTTTCTCCCCAACGCCCCCTGGTACATAGTTATATATTCTTTGTTGTGGGTCCTTCTAGTTGTGGCATGTGGGACGCCGCCTCAGTGTGGCCTGACGAGCAGTGCCATGTCCGTGCCCAGCATCCGAACCAACGAAACACTGAGCCGCCTGCAGTGGAGTGTGCGAACTTAACCACTTGACCAGGGGGTCAGCCCCTCTACTGTGCTCTTTTATTTGCTGCCTTTTTTCTACCTTTCCTGACTTACATTGATGAAGTTTTCTTTATTTCCTTGAATGTTTTGAAAATTTTATATCTATTTCTGTTGTTTCTGTATTAACCCTTATTTTTAAAAGATGCTTTCTTAACGTAGCAAAATCTGAACCTAGCCAAGATATTGTAGTTTTCCTGAACAATGCAAGGATCTTAGAACAGTTACCTGTGATTGCCACCCTCTCTTATCGTCTTCTAGATTTTTGGTTCTAGAATTTTATTTCCACCACCATGTTTTTGAATTACCAAATTTATTGCCTTATTTTTTAAATAAAGGCAATAGTTTTATAAATTTATTCATATGTTTATTCTTTGTTAACTATTACTTTTCTTTTTCATTACACTCTTTCCATTTATGTTGACTTTTCTTCTTCCTTATGTACATTCTTTAATAGTTCATTGAATAGGTTCTGTGAATGATAAAAAATCTTTTAGTCTCTGTCTGAAAAGTTATTTATCTTCAGTCTTGAAAGATAATTTAGCTGGTTTACAGTTTATAGTTATTTTGCTTCAGTAATTTGAAGATATGATTCCATTATTATCTGAATTTCTATTTTCTTGATGCCATTTCTATTTTATTCTTTGATGCATGTAACAAAACTAAATACTCTTAAAATATAATAAGATTGTTTATTATTAAAAGCAGACTATGCATCCTTTTTTAAAAACTATATTAAATGCTCTTTGTCTAAAATGTATGACTTCTTTTTAGACCAACTTCCATGTTTCGTTATTGGCACTAGGTTTGCTAACATATTTTGCATTATTATAAATATTACCGCTCATTTATTTAATATTGATTAAAAATTCTTTATGTTTTAAAGTGTGAAATGTAAGTGTTACTGCCAAATCGTAAAATAAAGTGTAGACTGTATGACACACAAAAGAAAAAGCAAGAAGAGGTCTTCTGTATCAGCTATACATAGAACCATAGTCTAGGGTTTGTCATTATGCTCTTTATCTTATAAAAGGAAAATCAAAGAAAACTCTATTTTTTTTTTAAATAAAGATTGGCACCTGAGCTAACATCTATTGCCAATCTTCTTCTTTTTTCTTCTTCTTCTTCTCCCTAAAGCCCCCCAGTACATAGTTGTATATTCTAGTTGTAGGTCTTTCTGGCTCTGCTATCTGGGATGCCACTTCAGCATGGCTTGATGAGTGGTGCTAGGTCTGCACCCAGGATGCGAACCAGTGAAACCCTGCACTGCCAAAGCGGAACACGTGGACTTAAACACTTGGTCACAGGGCTGGCCCCCAAAATTCTGTATTTTATATTTTGAGAGCAGAGAGTGGATATTAATGAAAAATACTAGCAATTTACAATATATTTATTGAAAGGTAATGTAATTCTGCACACAGTATCCCCTTGCATCATTATACTTAGAATTTATTATGATTTTATCATCATGCTTAATATAGCTGGTTAGACAAACCAATCAAATTCCCTCCTTAAGCTGACCCTGGAAAACACATAGAATAAGAACTTTCTTAAAATTTTGTGTACTGTCTTTAGATGATTATTTTGTTGTTTGTCTCCATTCTTTTCTACAATTTGCTTTTGCCTTATGTTGCTGAGTTTTAATCTCATCTAATGCAGTGGACTTTGTTTTGATTGATGACTATTTGCCATGAAGACAGAATTTCATTTTTAACAATTATTAATATGATGAATGTTTATCATTTAAATATAGTCTTGATAGTTTACTTCAATAATTTTTTGTCATCCCCCCTCCCTAACACTGAACCATCAATTTATTGTATCATTCAAAATCCTTTGAATATTAAACCTTTTAGACTTGATGCATGAAATTTATATTCAATAGCCCTAATCATCCAAAGTCTTAATTTCTTCTTTAAAAACCAATAATATACATTGCACATACATATTAATGCATATCCTATTATCAACTCAATCATTATTACAATGTAACTGCTATTAATTTAGATAGTCTGTAATCAATAATGTCTCATAATTTAGTCATTTTTTTTTATTCCACATCTGTGTAAGAATATGAGTAAAATAGAAGAAAGAGTTCCTTCTTTTGTCTAGGTTATAGTTTAATTTCTTTGGGTTGAACTTCAATCTCTTGGTTCTCATTAAAGTTCCATATCAGAATAGGTCCTGAGAAATGTTAATAATTAAGTAACTTAGTTGTTATGGACAGCAATGTTACTAGATATATAGGTGATTATCATGTGAATCAAAAGTTTCTTATCAAAAGTTTCTTCATGGCCTCATGAATATTGAATGTGAAATTGCAGAAAAGTGCTGTAGGAATAACTATGGTCCTTTTGCTAAGGTATATACAATGTGACATGCTGTAGAGAGAGTAGTTTCTGCAGAAATAGCTAAAAACAAGTGGAAGACTTTAGCAGAAAACATGTCATGTGAAAGAAGTTCATTGATGACTTTCTCCTCATTACTTTGAGTTTAAATGTGGTAAATCTTCTGATACTTTTCCTTTCTTCTCTCCCCCTTTCTTCCCATCCCTCAGGAATAATAATGAAATACTGATAACTATTCAGTATAGGCAATTAAGTTTCAAAGGGACCATTAAAATTTATTTTTCATTACTGCCTTGTTGAAGTTGTAAACTATCTATTAAAAAGTTTTTCTTTTTAAATAGGATAACGTTTTTTTCTAAAAGAAGTTTAAGGAAATTTATAATGACACTTTAAAAAATTCATTTGCTACTTCTTCCCTCAATTAGAGTCCATCTTTCATTGCACATTTAACTTTATGAATTTTTTTAATATTTGAAAAAAGTCTTATCTTTCAGGGAATCTTGTGAAGACTGCTTTAATAAAGAATAATCTCTTGGTAACATGAAAAAAACTCCTCCTCTCTTTGTCATTTTGTTTATTTTATAAATTTAGATATTTGAATCTTCTAATTAGTAAGTCATACAAACTGCGGTCTTGTTTCCTCAAAAGAAGGAAACAAACTAGCTGTTTCTTCAATGACACACTTATCTATGTTCATTTAAATGTCTTGAAGAGTTACCCAGTTATCTAACCATCCTGGTATTCCAACTATCTAATCATACTGGTATTTCAAAGCCTGAGTATTTATCACCACTTACTTATTTTTATATTCATAAGACATTTAGATTGTTTCCTATGTAGAGTATAACCTTTATAACATTTTTGTCAGAAATATTTGTAATCAGAAGTCAAGAATTCTTACTAGTATATTACAATTTAAGTTTCTTGAATCCTCTGGGATTATCTTGCCACTGAACAGTGTGGTAAAATCATTTTAGCTTCTAGTTTTGCAAGCGTAGTGTATCCTATATTTCCTCATTTATACATTAGTAAATATTTATGATCTGAATTTTTTCTATCAATGAGAGTGTCAAATGGTGTAACACAGAATTGGTATGTCAGTGTGAAATTGGAAACAGATTTTCAGCTTTGACTCCAATCAAGATATGACTCTTTTCAGCAATAGAATTATAATAATTATTACTTGGTCTATCACCAAAAGCAAAAAAAAAAAAGAATCCCCCAAAACCCCCAACAAACATGAATTATGATAGAGTACACCGACAGGAGTCCAAGCACTTCGATTTGAGGATGAAAAGAGCTTCATCACAAGAGAGAGATAGACAGAGAAATGAGAATGTTCTAAGAATTAAAGGAAGTTCAGTTTTGCTGGAACACAGGATGCAGAGCAGTGGGGAGGGGTAAAAGTTAGTGAAAGATGAGTCTGAAGAGTTATATAGGATCTAGATCTTGGGCAACTTTGCAGATCATTTTAAGAATTTTTTTACTGCTTTATTGAAGTATGATTGACATACAAAACGCTGTAGATATTTAATTTTTACAACTTGATGTGTTTTAGGATAAGTAT